AAGTGCAATGGCATACGTGCAGGCGTGTGAAGCGCTCAAGAGTGGCAGTTTGGACCGCGCCACGGAGCCCGCGCCGGAGAACGCAGAGGGTGCGCCACAGGAAAGGCCTGCTGCGGACGCGTCTGTGGAGAACTTGCTAGAAGATGCACTGGAGTTCTTCGATAACGCTCACCCCGAGGCGTCAGGAGGAGATGAGGCCCTTACAACGGTGCAAAAGATGAAGTTGCTGGCGCAGAGCTGCAGGAAGAACCGGCGTTTTGTGGAGACCTACGAGAAGAGGCATTACGACTATACAAAACGGTTGATCATTCAAATGGTGCGCGTTTTGAAATATTATTTCAAGTACTTCAAGTCATACATTGCTGACATCCTCTCCATCTTCTACGAGTCGGCCATAGTGATGCTCGAAACGAAGATCAACGATTCAGTCGGTGCAGCCGAAGGGTCTAACAGTCCTGCAGACGAAATGGTAGCAGCTGAAGCGCGTCATGCAGCAAGGAGAAGTGCTGCACAATCAGCAACAGATGAAACCCAACTCCCCAGGAAACTCTTCAGGGTGCCAAAGTTCGCAGAGGAAGCCACAAGGCTAGCAAACGGGTTCTTTGAAGCCAGTAAGTGCCAACACATGCGTCTGTTCTGCTGACCTACCAGCATGTATAGAATTAAATTCTGTAGAACTTCACGCAGACGAATAGAGTAGGCGGGTTCGCGCAGCCGTCATGAGGCTGGCGGGATCCTCTTGCTTTGGTAGGAAATTCCCTTCCAGAGGGTCAAACTGTTGTGCTTGTTCTTTCTCATCACCAAGCACGCATCATGGTCTTGCGTGTTTTGCAGCTGGAGCGTTTTCGCTGTTTGAAANTCTTTCTCATCACCAAGCACGCATCATGGTCTTGCGTGTTTTGCAGCTGGAGCGTTTTCGCTGTTTGAAATCGCCAATGAGGAGACGGGTCCTGCAGCTGAGCTTCGTGATATGGCTCTTCGTTTGTTGACGACAGCTGACAGGGAGATGCGCAAGGGCTTGGGTGAAATATACAAACGGTTCCTCAACAGTCAGGTTCTCTTGTCTCGAGTGGAGAAGAACAAAGAGCGTATTCGCGTGTTTGATCTCATTGCCAAGTGTCAGACGCCGCTGGAGGAGAAAACAGAAGAAGAAAAACGAGTCTGCGGCACAACAGTTACAAGCGAGATTGATCCCGATGAATTCATTGCAAAGGCACTGGCGGCTCTCAACCTTCCTATTGCCTCTCCCGAAGATGATATTGCATTCCACTCCACTGGAGACGTCACGCGCGTCTTCGAGGCTTGGGAGAAATCCGCAACAGCGAAAAGACAGGCGGGAATCGCCAGAATTGCTCAGCTTGCTGGGGAAACAAGTTCGTCCCACATGTTTGAATATATAAGCAAAAAGTCAACTGTTAATACGTATATATATACATATATATACAGAGAGAGAGAGAGTAATTGTTCAAGTTAATTGGGGATGGACTTAGACCACCGCCACTGTTCGTGTATTGCGCTCTCTCAGGCTCCAGTGCGGTGTTCCTCACCCACATGCGTCGGGCTGTCTACGAAAAGGTACTTTAACCCACACACCCTTTTCACAGCACATTTCACGCACTAAAGCCCGAGTTCGTCCGGAAAAAGACGGCAGGAGCAAGTGCAGGTAGCTGCTAGGGGTCTCTAGCTTGCTGGTTTGATAGTGGTGGCGGCTGCTTGTGGTATTGACTGCTGCAGCTAACCTTCCGCCGGTTTGACTACGTTGAGGGAACCGGCAAGCTCGTCCTCTACGACGAAAACGGGAGAAGCTTGACCTTCACTGGTGCGTCCCAACGAATATACAATCCCCTGGATTGGACAGATAGCCAGCTGCACACACAGAGGCTTCATCTAGTCAGGGGTACTTGCCTTTTGTTGCTATTTCTCTGTTGTTGCTATTCATTTGCTGTTGGTATTTGTCTGTTGTTATTCTTGTTGCAGGTGACGACGAAGCAAGTGTAAAAAGTGGGTCTACTGTGTGTATGCTGCTGCTGGAGACTGAATTTCAGGATCTTTCCTTCGGCATAAAAATATCTATTTGGGTGCTTTGTGTTGTGCAGGTCTCGTCGCTCCTGTCCGAGACCAAAGCGGCAAAAGTGGGTGAAGTGATCACTGGACGATTCGGCCGGTTAGGTGTAGTCTTATAAAGCTGTTTCAAAAGTGAGTGTGTTTCTATTACCTTTTCTTGTTTGTGTTTTGAATTTCTTTCTGCGCAGGAGTGTTCAAGCCAGATCCCCTAGACTGCACCAGCACCTTTACGGTGAATGAGGGGAACAAAGGAACTCTGTCGTTCTATGTGCTTGTTGACTCACGACGGGGCCATGGTGGAGCACCGCAAGAGCAACATAGCTTCTCCGAGCGTGAGCTGGCCCCTGCAATTACTGTGCGGGGGTCTATTCAATATGATGATACGAGAAAAGAACTACTCAGCATTCAAAATGACCCCAATGCTATCAGAGATACAGTTGTCGCACACTTCGTAGACAAACGAGGACGCGTCGCTGCAGAGACGGTAGGAAAAATAAATGAAATGCTGCACTGGAGCTGCGCCGCAGCTGTTGGATTCATGATCAGATGGCATTTTCTTTTTGCATTGGTTGCGTGTCCGGTCGTTGCCTCTTTCTGCGTTTATCTGTTTCCTTTTGTGTTTGTTCTGTGTTTTCTTTGTGCTTGTGCAGCTGGCCGGAGTGCTGATGCTTCTGCACCGCCGCCTCCCTATCTTCTGGAAGAGGAGCCCGGTTGAATTTATGCAGAATCTGACGCCGAAGATGTTTTTCGACATTCTTTTCGTGCTGTCTACCCAGGCCTACGATCAGGCGGAGGCCACGGTGCAGCTCGATGGAAAGCTGTATACATTCCCGAAGTCTTTCAGTGCTATGAAGGACATTGTGCTGAGTTCATTGAACAGAGCAATTGTTCGCATGCATAGTTTGAACGCCTCGGACGCAGCTCTTCTTATTGCCATGGGTACTGTACACTTCGCCTACAAGAAGATTCAGAAACACAGAACAGGCAGAACATCCACAATGCACCTCTTCCTCCGGGAGGTCAACCATCTCATGAACATCCTAAAGACTCAACCAGACCAACTCAAAACCCTTTATCCCGAATGTGAATTCCTATCAAATTGGGAAACACCTCAAGAAGAAGGAGTGCTGAAGTGCGCCATCTTCCGATTCATGAAGATAGGATCCCTAACAAGCCTTGGGGAGGCGCAGGTACGCTATTCTTAGCTCTGCTGTCCATGCTATCCATCACTGACTAACATTTTCAAACCCTAAATAGTAAACTTTCGTCAACCCCAAACCCTAATATGCATCCCTGCATCCAACTCTGCGTTTGAATACTTTTTTTTTAGGAGGAGATCGTGACGTACGTCACAGCCTTTGTACACAAACTGAGCGAACTGAAGGGCCAGGAAACATGGACTTCGTATTTGAATTTGGATTATTTCCTAGGTGGCGCAAAGATGTACGGGAAAACAGCAGCGAAATACAGGTTTGAGGTGCTGTACAACCAAATCAACGACATTCCCGGAACAGAAGAAGAAGAAACCGAGTTGGCTAACCTCATGAAAAAACTCCATCCATCGCTTGCAGGCTACAGACCACCAAGGCCCAAGAAAAAAGAAGGAATCTTACAAATGCTCAAACGATTCAAAGACAACTTCAAGGTGCTCCCACAAAAACTACAGGGAAAACTGTCAATGGAATGGAGGCAATGCTATGCAAGAATGAGAAGATTCTTCGGATCCCGACGATCTATATTGCGCAGCTGGAGGTACATATATATATATATATATATATATATATATATATATATATATATATATATATATATATATATATATATATTTTGTTCGACTCCGCCAGTACTTCGTCATCCCCTCTGCCCTTCCTCTTGATACTACTTTTTGTTTTCTCTTCTGCAGTGCTTTATGCGGCTATTTCCTTCCGGCGGTGGGACAGATACATGCGCAGTGTATCGGATGTGCAGCTTTTGCATCTGTATTCTCTTGTGTGTTTGTGTTGCGCCGCCACAGCATATCACCTAAAGTCATTCAAGGTCCCCACTTCATGAGCGCCCTGAAATACGCTGAGGTTACTACCTACCCGGATCTGAACAGCAGCCGAGATGTGTTCATAGAGGTATCGGACTTAGAAGAATTCAGCAGAGTTTTGTTGACTCTCGAGACAGTCGCCGGCACACTCGATAGCCCACAAAGCATGTACAACACCGTCACTCAAATCAGGGCAACTCCAGCCTTCACTGCCTCAGCAAAAGGTGAGCACTTCTCACCCAAGCCAGACCGCCAAGTCAACGGATGCGACACTACCTGGCTATACAGTATAAACAAATAAAAAGATATATATATATATATATATATATATATATATATATATATATATATATATATATATATATAT